GGAAATGAAAGCTATTATAAGCTTGCGTCTGTCCTTTTCTAGGGAAATTTTCAGGCTGGGATAAAAAGTGACAACCTCCAGCGTTAGTAACGATATTGTAGTAATAGACTAACTGAACAAAGCACTGGAGTACTGCTGATGTTTACCTAGTCAGGTAATGAAATGTCTGCAAGCAAACAACAAACCTCAGAGAGCACCAAGGACTCCACAACTGAACAAAGTTTTACTTTGGACATAATTAATCTATGTGAAAAAAATAGAGATAATGTGGCAAAATGAAGTGAACTCACATACGGTATCCAGGCAAATAACAAAGCTAGAGTAAGGGATAAAGAATCTTGCAAGGGAATGTTTAGAAGATTCAAGACTGTAAAATGGCTGGATGCCTTAGAACCGGACATGATTGCTGTAATTTTAAAGGTTTTATAGACAATGGAATTCAGTTAATTACAGTTCTGGCAGATTCTTGGGTTATGATTTCATTAGTCAGTTCCTTAGCTGCAGACATATAACTTTCTCTTTACAGTCCTCTACAAAAATTCATACTAATATGCAACATAGGTTGTGCTTCATTCTGTTGGAAAAAATGTGTGGAACTTATGCAGGTCTTAGAATTCTGCTTACATAAAATGAATGAATGCTAATAATGAATACAAATTCTTTAATCAGGTTGTTCCTAGATGTCCCAGATGTTCACCTGATGAACCACTTGCTATCATGAAGCCAGAAATTGTGTTCTTTGGTGAAAATCTACCTGAGCAGTTTCACAGGGCCATGAAATATGACAAAGATGAAGTTGATCTTCTTATTGTTATTGGGTCTTCACTCAAAGTAAGACCAGTAGCATTGATTCCAAGTGAGTACTGATTATGTATGTATCGAGAAGAACAGAGAGCCCTTGTTGCAGTTTAAATTTAGTGATCATGATGAATAGTGCCAGAATTTAGAGAGCATCATAGATGTGGAAGCATGTTAGAAAAAGGAAATATTATGTATGTAACATACCTTAAATAACATACAATTGTGCAGAATTCAGAATTATTCAATTATTTATGTAGTTATATATATTCCTTACCATTAATTATCCAGCTTATCCAGTTTGTTAATAATCACTGACTTTATTTTTTTTTCTTAAATATGTAGGCTCCATCCCACATGAAGTGCCTCAAATTCTAATTAATAGGGAACCATTGCCTCATCTACACTTTGATGTGGAGCTTCTTGGTGACTGTGATGTTATTATCAATGAATTATGTCATAGATTGGGTGGAGAATATTCAAAACTTTGTAATAGTTCCATTCAGCTTTCAGAAATAACAGAGAAACCTCCACGGCCACACAAAGAGTTTGAAAAACATTTAACAGAGTTAGCAGCTACTCCTTTAAACATTTCTGAATCTTCTAGTTCACCTGACAGAATTGCATCGCAAGATTCTCAAGCGATGCATTCAGAGCATTCTAGTCCATATAAAGCAGGAAATTCTGATGTTGCCTTGGAATCTAAAGAAACGTCTGTAGAAGAAAAACCATTAGAAGTGCATAACTCTTTAGAAAATTCAGAAAGTACTCATGGTCAATTAGAAACTGCAGAACATGTGAAGGAGCCTGGATCTAATCAAGAAGAAAACAAAGAAAGAAGTGAAAAAATGTCTGTTGAAACACTGAGAAAATGTTGCTTGAATAGATGTGTGAAAGAGCAAATTAGCAAGCGGCTTGATGGTAAGCGCTAAGTCTATTGTAAATACTGCTGCTTTGAATATTTTCCTATAATGCTTTAGAATAACTTCAGAGTATTGAAATATTAACAGTTCTGCCTTGAATGCTTCAGTGTAACATTGTAATATTCAGTCAAACGCTGGTCAAAAAACAAAATCTTCACTAGCAATTCAGGCTACTGTGTAATTATAGCGGTGTTTCTTAAACTTTTTTTTCTGTCAGGACCCCTTCCCACTTTTAAAAATTATAGAGGGCCCCAAAAGAGCTTCTGTTTGTATGTGTTATATTTATCAACATTTACCATATTAAAAATTAAAATGGACGCATTTGCTGCCACTACTGCTTCTCACAATCATTTGATGGGATTCAAATATTGTATTATTTTTCAACACAGGCTGGCAAATAATTTTGATTTCACGGACCTCTGAGAGGATCTTAGGGGACCCCAGGGGTCCTCAAACCAGCCATACTTTGAGAAACACTGTTACGGCATAGAAAATCTAAAATAAATGGATTATGGCCAAATAAGCTAATCATTTGGAAATGTTCATTTTTCAAACTATTTTTAGATAATATTAAAAACTTGAAATGAATTAATTATCTGTGTTGTACTTTCCAAACTAATGGATCTTGTCCTTAACATTGGCTTAGAGGAGCTGGAATCCCTGTAACCATTATTTAGAAGTAAGCAACCTTGAGACAGGAGGGCTTACTTCTGAATAGATAAGTACAGCTGAAGTGGGCAGACTTCAGGCTTGCAAGATCTACTTCATAACAAATACCTCGTATTCATCAACAGGAGTTAGGTGCAGTAATGTTCTTTATAACAATGGGAGTATTAGAATTAAGGTCCAATATTCCTTTAAAAACATCTTCAGAAATTTCTCTCATTACAACTGAACTCAAAAAATCCACTCCTGTTTTTACCTTCAAGCTTGCTTCTATCCCAGTAGCCCAATTTAGAAAGTGGGGAGGAGAGAGAAATATTTGCAGAATATTGAGAGTTAAAAATGCTTGGTTTTCACTTTCAGATCACCTGGCTCAAGAGATCCCATTCTATTTTCTGCTAACACAATGCACATGGCTGCACTCTTCTAGAAAGCTAGGAATAGAAGTGTCACTTCTATGTATGGTCTGGATAAATTCACGTTCAATTGCACCATCTCCCCAAAGAAAAATACCATTTTCATTTTCTCCCTTTGCAGAAATTTTTTTTAAAAATAGAAACAACTGAAGTTTTAGCTCAGATTGTTGCTCTACTGTACTTCAAGTAAAAAAAAGACGCCCAGACCAATATGATGTAATAAATGTAACACTGCCCACAGGATTATAGTCTAAATGAATAAAAAACATTAACATATTTAAAACAACTCACTCTTGGAAGATAAATCTAAAAAAAAAAATGGAAGTAACCTTTTCCTTAGGTTGTAAATGTAAGTGCATACTAGCTCATGTGAAAAAGTGAAGTGTATAGTTTTTCTTCATACCATCAACTTTTTTCTACAGCGTTATGTAGGAGCTGACATCATGGTATTTGTACTGGTGAACTGCTATTGCTTCAGGCATACCACGCACAAGCTTTTGTTTCTGCCTACTGGATGTAAAGTGTGGATGTGTTTCGTATTTCTTATATTACCCATTTTTACTAATATTGAACAGTATTTTTCCTCTCTTTCAGAGTGTCTGATGGTATACTAAAGATAAAATCCTGAGTGTTTTTAAAAAGACTTATTCTCATGCCCCTTGCTTAGCTTGTGAGAGAATATTTTTATCTACATATTTGCAGCATGAACCCTTTGCAACCATCTTGGTTCTATTGCATAGTTGGTACAGTCTGTGTTGGTATAGTCAGCTGGTTTTTAATAAACTTTGATGGTGAGATCTGAGTCATTAGACTGGATTGACATAATTCCTGATTCAAGTGAATCTTTTAGAGAAGAAACTGTTTCTAGGAAATAAAAGAGAATAATGGGACTTACTATGGACTTAAACCACATTTGGGCAATTACATAATTTTATACATTTGCCTTGCCTCAAAAATCTTAGAATCTGGTCTCCCATAAATAGAATAGGAGGGAACCATTTTTTAAGTGGAATAATGTATATGTTATATAGAGTGAAAAGTTTGGAATATTTGGAATATTCTGATTGAAGTGAACCTGGAAAGGCTTTAAGCCATTAAAAAAGGAACTGCATGTTTTCAGAGCGTGTGAAAGTAAATTGCAGTAAACATCAATATACTATTAAATTGCTATAAAACACTTTTAGGAGGGGGGAGCAAGTTAATTATAGTATTGTATTGTAATATTTTCCCCTCAAAACTTTACATACACCAACACAAATGTTTCCTTATAACAAATATAAAATATTGACAACTTAGAACAATAAGTGTCCTGTCTTTATGTAGGATTGTATTCTTAATAATGATAATGCTTTTTTTTCCCCTTTGTTGTTGTTGATCAAACCTATTTCAGGTACTCAATACTTGTTTTCACCACCAAATCGCTATATTTTCCATGGTGCTGAAGTATATTCAGACTCTGAAGATGATGTCATATCCTCCAGCTCTTGTGGAAGTAGCAGTGGTAGTGGGTCATGTCGTAGTCCAAGCTTAGATATAGAAGAGGAAAGTGAACTAGAAGAATATTACAACGGCATAGAAGAAGAAGAAGATGATGATGATGCTCCTGACAGAGAAGAGGAGAATGGATTTGAAGAAGATGGAACTGACCTTCAAGAATCTGTTGATGAATCAATTTCTGTAAATCAGACAGTAGAATTTGACAGTTCATCAGACAAGTTGTAAGATAATTACTGATTTATTTCAGGAACTTTTCCACCAGCATTAGCAATTTGGGCATGTTGGAATGAATGTGTACTGAATTTAGAACAAGGCAAACAACGATGTAATGTTTATAAACACTAGAGTAGATTTTCATGCATAGTTTTCTGACTTTTCCAATCAAATTCTATAAAGGCACACTCAGTACTAATTTTCATTGCATTTTGAGTTTTGTAAAAGGCACTAAGTATCTTTTACTGTCACTGCATTCATTTTTTATTGTTTATCTGTGTTGTGTGTCTGTGCGTATACACACATACACAATATGTTTGCTTAATGAAATTCACCCTATTTTATTTTTGAACCATTTAAAAAAGCCATCAGAATATTAATATAATATAAAGGGAACAGCTAATCTAGACCAAAGAATGGTATTGTTCATACCTCTCTTGTTTTGCAACATTTCAGTTTATTTAAAGCCTGTTTATGTCTCTCCTAAAGTCTGCTGCTGCAAGAATATGTTGTTAAATATGGGGATTTCCCCCAAATTCCTATGGCAGCTATGTTTTCTGAAAATAACTCTTCATGTTGGGTATATTTGCATGCAATCATATTAGAAGTTAATTAGACATCAGTGAGCACCTGAAAATTCCTTAGATTACTAGAAAATAGCATTTAAAAAAATACTATTTAAATAAATAAAAATGCTATTTTTTAATAAAGACTAAAGTGAAGCAACTTTCTGTAGATACATAATAATGCTTATTGGCGTACAAAATTACAGCAAGAAAGTATTAGATAAAAAATCATTAACCTTGTTAACACAAGTATTTAGAGCAGGAAGTTGGTATATAAAGCAATGTATAAAATCTTTGTGTACACTGCCAAGATGTGAATATTTAAGTGTTGAAGGTGTATATATAATATTCAGAATACAGATGAAATCTTTGCCCAAGAACAAAAGTGTTTCTATACTTTTCAGTACTTTTATACAAACGTTTAATGAGAACTACTCACACATCCAGTAAAAAAACAGAAAGCTCAGTTTAACCGTAACTTTAAGGTATGCTGCTTAAAGGCTTCAGTTCAGAGAACCTCACGGACTGGTAACTCATGGTAACTCCTTGGTACGTCGGTGTAGAAAAAGCAACTGAAATTAGTTCCAATGCTGCTTCAAAACTGCCTCCTAAAATAGATGTGTCAAATGTTACAGCTGTAGATTGTTTCGATCCTTTGTGCTTTGTTTTGATAAGTTTTTAATTTCTTCTTGAAACCACTTTTCAACTGGATACCAGTTACCAATAATTCTTTCGCATTTCTTTAATATTCCATTTTGAAATAGTATAAAGAGCTGCTCTTTTCACACAGTTAATACATCTGATTTGTAACACAGCATAACCAAGTGTTAAAAATGGCATTTTGTGTTCATCTGAAATGTTGGCATGTTTTCTTGTTCAAGTTGTAAATAGAACTTGAACAACTACATTAAAGAATGCAATATGTTTAGCTTGGCATGCATGTCAAACTGTATTTGTGCTATAGGAGATATTTTAAATGGAAATATTTTGTTTTAAATTATTTTTACAGTGTGGATTATTTTCTGCTTTTATATTGTATATAGTGTCTTTTATGTAACCAACTGGCAGATGTTTTGTAGAAGATTGTTTAAATTGACCTAGCTCTCTTCCTGCAACTTTTGAAATACAAAACCAGTGTTTTATACTCAGTCTGATTTAAATCTATTAAATTGTTAACTTTTGGATGCTGTTACAATGCGTGCACAATGTCTTGCATGAAATTTTATCGTTAAGTGTAGAAAATAATATAGTTTGTGAGAAGTAATATGCTGCTTCTCTGATATTACTCCAGTCAGTTCTTCCACTGCTGCATTTTTCAAACGATGTTTCCCGCAAGGGCCACAGGGACTAGGACCTGTGATGCAGTAAAGGCAAGGCTGAAAGCTTTGGCCCATAGTGGTGGTGGGACATCTGGCAGCATTCGCTGCCACCGCAAATTTCTGCTAAGGATTGCAGGACTATCCAGGCAAGTTACCATAGCAATTTGGGATTAGTAATTAGATTCTCCTGCTTCTTACATTGAATTTAATACTCTTCCATGACTTTATGCTAATTTTTTACCATTACCTGGAATGCAATAGCACTATGCTACTTTCCTCACTGAATGACCAGATCCTGGCGCTGGTTCCAAGACACTGAGTCTGCCATGTATAAACCATCATTGTGCACATGCTGTTGACCAGTGGTGGATATGGACTTTCTGTACCTCCAGCTGTTTGTCCTTATCATCTGATACATCATGCACTACCTTCAAAATAGAGGCAGCTACTGCCTCGATATCGGCGTTACAGAAAGGTGATGTTAGGACTGATGCAAGCAGGTGGTTTCCAAATGCTGGGTCCTGTGGAGGGGAGGTGTATCTAAGCGCTCTCACTGGTGGGTGGGGCTGAGCCTGAGGTGGCATCTGTTGTAATGGGACAAGACAGATTGGGTGCTGTGTGCTTGAGGTGAAGGATGAACTCCAGTCTACCGTGCTGATTGATTCACCAACATCTGCAGACTGCCAATTCTCATGATCTTAGGCAGCTTACAATACCAGCACCTTCTTTTCCCTACTTCCCTATAGTTACCACCTCTTGGCTTTTTCCAGTTGCCCTCCCCACCCCTGGAGAAAACCTCCTCAGGACATACATGCTTTGATCTGGATATACAGCAGGTGAAACTAATCCATGGACAGAACAGGCCACGCGTGGACCATTTTGCACATTCCTAACCAGACAAAGTGTTCGGTAGCCCTTGTGATAGCCTGTAAAAATAGAAGTTATTTGCATGACATACTCCCTCAAAGAGAAACAATTTTGTACTACCTGTTCATATAATGTTATTGTTAAACAAAGCTTTAATTTTTCATAATTGGTTGATTCTCTAATTAAATAATACCCCCCTCCTTTTGCCTAATATGCTACGCTATCAGTAATGAAACCAATTCAAGTTTATTATTTGGGTCCTGCAACAGCAAGATTTTAAAAATAACACTAGAAGAAATGTAGTTATGATCAAATAAACCTGGTTTTGCCACAGCAGGCTATCTTGTTTGGGATTCTTCTGTTACAAAGCAGGAAGGCAGCGTACAAACATAAATATAGTGCAAATTTATCTGCTGTAGAACTCCTAGTCATTTCAAGACAAGTATACTTTTATACATTATTTCAGAAGGCCTGTAATTGAATACGGGTGACAGGATTCAAGTACAGTTTGAACACATGCTCACCTCAAAATAATTCAGACACATGCCTTAAGAAAATTTTCTGCATAATGTTGAAAGAATGAGACTATTACATGTATACATTATCCAACATTTTCATTCAAATATTTTTATTTTATGCTTGAATTGTTTCACTGCAGTTTATAAATCTAAAAAAAATAAATATTTATTTCACAGCTGAAAGTCACGTACTATTAATAACATGTAAACATTCAGGAACTTAATTAAGCTAGCCCCTCCCCCATAAATCCCCCTGCTCAGTTCAAAGTCACCACCTCTTATGTTTTTCCAATGACCAAACGGGGTCTTTAAAAAACTGGAAAAAAAAAAAACAATTTAACCAGAATGTTAAAACTAGTCCAATATTTGAGAATTAAGAAAGATGAAATCTTAGCTCTGTTCAACAGAAAAAAGTAGAATCTGCTGATAATTCTGGACTGATGTGCCAAACATTCCTGTATTATTTGGGTTACCATGGGTCAAATCTCAAAATTTAATAAAGGGATCCTTCATAATTTTAGTCAACAAATGACAACTCCATGGTCATGTGAAGGAATTGTCAAAATAGCATTGACATCCTCTTGACAGCTTTCATTTAAAAAGAAACTGAACTAGTTTCAAGATGAAACAGTTGCTATATAAACTTTCCTTAGTATCATGGCAAATCACTGTCTTTTCACCAAACCCACCCCCAAACAAACTTCAGCAAGCAACATGTGGACAAAGATATGCTTGCTTTCTCTCTCTATTTATTTTAAGTTTGTTTTAACAAAGCAGCCCCAATTCCATAAAGCAATAGATACTCTACTGCTGTTGGAGCATATTTTATTGTTTTTTTAAAAAACTTTTAACAAAATGAAAAATCAATATTTGACTGTTGCAGTGATTGGAAAAGAAAAGCACATCTTTCACACACACAGCAAGTCATTTTTGCAATATGTGAAATACTAAAATTTAGTTAGTGAAACTTTAGCTTTTATTCCAAAGTTGCATTTTTATTGTTAAGATGGCAAAATGCAATTCCAGAGTTTGCATCAAGACAATTCATTAATATAAGGATTTTTGGCTGCCATGAAAGAATCAGATCACTGAACATGTTTATGAACAGCCTCTTATAATCATCACAACTTGGGTATCTCTCATTGACACTGCAAAGCAGATAGAAGCATTGGCTTAATGTTCCCAATTAAATGACTGCATGGCGCTAGGTATTTACATGTTATACTAAATTGAAGCCTTCGTAGTGATCGATTGCTTGGATCAGCTTCGATCTGAGTGTTTCCTTATTGGTATATTTTGGAAGATCAAGGAGATTAAAGCATGTGTGAGATACTGGAAGATATCCATCTCCACCTCCGGTTGGTTGGATAATTAGACTAAGGCTCTTCATCCCAAGTATAGGAATACGATCACTCCCCGTCAAAAATACTACAAAGAAAAAAATGGAATAATCTAAGTCCAGATATCAAAGTTTATCACAGAGTACAACTACATGATATACAGCACTACAATGTAAAAGATTTTTTTTTAAGTACTCCTGTATTAAAGACTTTTGGCTAAACACAGATTTATTTTTGTGAAATCTATATTAATCAGGAAATGAGCAGACAAGCTATTTAGTGTTCAAGTAGTAAACCCTATCAGACTAACCATGGAAGCTTTTTACTAGCATGATGCTTGCTACCCCAACACCTATACGCCACATATTCAAAATTCAGGTTTAGACCTAAAATAAGCTAAAGAAATAATCCTTCAGTTCAGGAGGGAAAATATTTTGACTTTTCTTCAGAGTAAAAAAGAAAGAATGTTGCATTGTTTGCCAATTAAAAGGAATGTTTAACAAAATAAAACTGTTTAATAAAATGAAAGAATACTAAGGATTCCTAGAAAATGTTAATAGTCTAGAATCTTCCAGAAGAGTATTTGTTTGAAATCCTCACCATGTATTTTTTCCCTTCTTAGTTTTAAAATATTTTTATTTATGCTTCCCATAATACATTCTACATTTTAAAGGAGACACTGACTCAGATTCAAATGTAAAGCGGACCCATATATACCACCAGCACAATACTGCAGTAAGCTTCAGGCTGGTATGTTCCCTTCTCCTCTAGTGTAAAGAGGTGAGAGAAAAACCCTTTCTACCCTCACTTATCTCCAAGATTGGTGGAATTCTGGTTAGCTTGAACTATGGTTTGTAACAAACTATGATCACTGATCCAGGCTTCTTGGAATAAAACGTAAGATGAACCCCAACACTACCTAACTAGACATCCAGTTATACAAGAAGATTACCCACTGCTTTTTTCTCCTTCTGCATATCTTGTGCCAGGGACTGCTGAAAGAAGAAGAAAGTCTCTTCCCCATTCCAAGGGAAGAAATGGTTTTCATTCACAGAAATGAACTCCATTCATTCGTTCATTGAATTTATGTGGCCGCCCATCTTATTTGCATGTGACTCTGGGCCGTACACAATTAAAACAAAAACTAAACAATCAACATAATTCAAACATTAAAACCAATTAAAAACAGTTAAAAAACAATGTAAGCAGAGTGCCTAGGCTTCTGGAGTGTTTAATAGTGGAACTGAATACCTCTGGGTTGCTCTTGCTTACACTGGAAATGAGGAGAGGAAGGACTGGTTTAGCATTATGTGCAAAATGGACCCCAGCTAACAATGGTAAAGATGTATTCATTTTATGAAGATTTTGATACTTACACAAAAACTGTTTCTTCTTTTCCAGTGGTAACTCATGAAAAACTTCCCAAAACAATTTAATTGTTGGGTGATCTGCCCAATATTCTCCTTTATATTGAGTATTCTAAGGAAAAAATCAAAACCACACTATCAAGGGATGTTCTCTCTTGGACTCTTCCCTTCTTCTCCCCTGCAAATGGTTGGCTGTACTGACTATCAGACAGACATTTAAGTGCAGGCTAGGACACTGTTAGGAACTGTGCAATATGTATGTTTAAATAGTATAGTTAAAAACTATAGCCATGATCCTGTACCAATTTAAGCAACACTATCATGGGACTTCTGAGCCAACACACAAAGGACTGCAACATACATAATTTTTGATTTTCTAACTGACTATTAAGATCTACCACCAACCAAATTATTATTAAACTGAAAGAGGAATCAAGGCTCAACGCCTACAGTGAGTTTACAGGTATTAAATATATTAATTCATTTTTTTGATAACAAACATTCTCTGTTACAAAGAGCATAAAGGAGGACAAGAAATGTTGGAAAATAACCTTTATAAACAAAAGGCTTAATTTGTGAAGAGCAGCTAATTTCTGGTAGAGCCACATACCTTTTCTAGTTCTTTCCAATCATAGTTTGTGTTCCCAATCACCATTGCTTGCAGTTCATTCGGCTCAAACAGCTGAAGAACTTTACCGCCACACACTTTGTGAAAACCTTCATGGAATGCATCATAGAGAGAAGCTACAGATTTATTGAAGACGTAGTCCACATAGGCATCCACAAACTCTTGCCTAAAAATCAGATTAAAAGGAAAGCCCTTTAGAAATACTCAATCTGCAACCCATTTAGCAATGGTAATTATTCTTTCCTTATAACCCATGATTAACAGAGTGAAATAATCATGCAGATGGCACTATGAACATTTCTTTTTCCTTCAACAGAATATTGCAACTACTCAGTCAGGCAATGGTTTAATTCAGCTACAGTTGTGTGAAAAAGAAAGTACACCCTCTTTGAGTTCTATGGTTTTACGTATCAGGACATAATAAAAATCATCTGGTCCTTAGCAGTTCTCAAAAGTAGGTAAATACAACCTCAGATGAACAACAACACATGACATATTACACCATGTCACCATTCATAATAAAAATCATCTGGTCCTTAGCAGTTCTCAAAAGTAGGTAAATACAACCTCAGATGAACAACAACACATGACATATTACACCATGTCACCATTTATTCTACAAAAAGAAAGCTAAAATGGAGAAGCCATGTGTGAAAAACTAAGTATGCCTTATGATTCAATAGTTTGTAGAACCACCTTTAGCAGCAATAACTCGAAGTCATCGTTTTCTGTATGATTTTATCAGTCTCTCACATCGTTGTGGAGGAATTTTGGCCTACTCTTCTTTACAACATTGCTTCAGTTCATTGAGGTTTGCGGGCTTTTATTTATGCACAGCTCTCTTGAGGCCCCGCCACAGCATTTCAATTGGGTTGAAGTCTGGACTTTGACTGGGGCATTGCAACACCTTGATTCTTTTCTTTTTCAG